ATAAATGAATACACGAAACGTTTTTTTTGCGATGTTTTGTTGCCCTCTCTTTCTCTCCGCCGTCGCCATAGTACGTGTAGGTGTAAATTACTATCTCCTCGCCGCGCTGTTCATTTGTAAACCCATCCCAGCGGTGCCCATGCTCATTTCATTCCTGATGATGTCTTTTGTGAACAAAAGAACACTATGTTCTAAATGAATTTGTGAAATGCACTGATTGAGTGCGAACCTGTGGTGTTGATAATCCACTTTTACTAATACAGCTGCTTTACGCGTTCTATCCGATTCTGAACCAGAGTTTCTATGCAGGCATACACCTAGTTTATCAACGTTAACGTCACCCTCTTGTTATGAACTGCACTGGCATTTTTTTTAATTTCGGCCAGTCCGCTACTATCATAAATTTTCATCTTGGGGGTTAGACAAGGGAAAGTCAAGAGAAAGCAGGCATGTAGGGCCGTGTACCCGCCTTTCGGCATCGGGAATTTTTTGGGACAAATCATTGTGTTTCAAGTGCGCCTTAACGCTATTCTATTGAAAATATATATTTTCTCTTTGGTTTCAACTCGGATACGGAACCAGTACTTAATGTAAAAACGAGAAGAAAACACCTGAGAACGGGTTATGCACGATATGCACGATCTGACTTTTATCATCTTAATACAGTCGTGGATACGGTAAAGTCGCGGATAAAAGCCGGGCTTATAAGCACATAAGCCACTTTCTGCATCAGGCTTTAATGCAAACCAGGCTTGTATGCAAACCATGCTTATATGCACCACTGATATTTTTGCCATGCTTGTATGCACGCTTCTACGGGCGACACGCGTAGATCTACCACTGACTACCAGTATGGCTGCAGTTTTAATATGCACCGTACATAGCGCATGCACTCCTGACCTACCCGATCCGCGCTTGCATAGAAGCCAGGCTTCTACGCGCGACAGGCTTATATCCATTTGACCCGTTTGATTTTCAGGCTTCTATCCGCGATGTGCTTGTATGCAAATCCGGCTTTTATCCGCGACTTTACGGTAGTTGCTGCTTAAGAGAGCATGTCTGAGAATACCAAAGTATGGGTGCAAGTGGATCTCTCCGATTTCGCTCAAAATTTGAAGGTAGGTTCCCTTCGGGGTGTGGATGGATTGTGCAAAGCCCTTGAAAAAGTTTCTGAATGGAACCTTGAAATTTGCATACCCCTCAAAAATGGCCGAAATATCACATTATTTATGGGTCTAGAAACGAGTCACGCCACAGCATATACGAACAAGCTACGAACAAAACTCCATCAAGCCAACATTGCCTTACCTCAGAAGAGTTCCTGGAGCAGTACCGCTTATCCACACCAGGATCCCAGAAGACGAGGTCAATCACCCCCTGACGCCACAGATGATCGTCTTGAAAATGGCCAATTTAAATTGCTGGCAAAACAGCCAGGTACGTCCTCAATTGGCCAGAACTATACACCGGCAGATAGAAGAACACCTCTTCTAGCGCTGATGACATGTCCCCCATCTTCCTTTTGGGGTTTTCTTGAAATAAACTTTTTTGAATTTTTCTACTGGACCATGCTGAAATACGGCCAAAGTCATACCTGCGCAGGAGAGCTCGCCCCTCCGCGACGTCTCCTCAGCAATTTCTACTCCAACACTACTCCCAAGGCCGCAGAACAAAGTGTATTGTTGACTCTGACAAGGAAAAGCAGCGGTGATCACTTGTCACTCCAAACGACAAGCTTCTCCTTGCGCGACCAAAATTTTTTTGTGCGACTGTTGATGCAAAAGTGACTGAAGTCCTGAGCGCAATTCTTGAATTTTACTACAAGAGGTACGGTGAAATCGCGGGCCTTGTGACGCAAGAATGCCAAGTCGCGTGGATCACGGTTCACGAGATTTCAGATTCTTACATGACACGTGACCGTATCCAAGGAGTTATTATTATTATTATTATTATTATTAGACACGATCTCATAGCATGTGACAAGCATAGCTAATGCAGGGACAGAATCCACTGAGACAAGGGTGTTGAGCCAGCCACGGCAATAGTAAGCTAGGAAAACAAAGCAAATATGAAGAAAGTTGTCTAATCACCACCTTTCCCGCCGCGGGCATGATTGAGCCATCATGCCCGCTGCCCTTGGCAACACTGACGTCACTTCAGGTATGATTGACAATCATGCCCGTGGTCAAGTGGCAACGAGATGTAGCCAATAATGTGACAAGGCGCGGGTTTTGAAGAAAGAAGTGGAAGTGCATGTAGAAGTCATGGAGTATGCGCCTCTTGTATGGATGGGAGCTGCGCAGAGCCACCTCCAGCGTCTGAACAATGTTCAGCGCCGCGCGCTTCATGGCTATCGGCCCTGGGGCCCCCCGGCCCGCCCCCCCTGGCCCCCGCACTGTTGCCTCGCTTGTCTGCCTGTACAAGCTGCACTACTTGCCTGGTCCTCCGCAGCTGCTCTCTGTGTTGCCACCGCGCCACATCATCTCTACCAACCCCAGAACTCGCAGCGAGCACGGTGCTGTCAGTGGCCATGACCACCAGCTCCAACACCAGCTGCCTGCATCTGCCCCGCTGGCACTGAAGCGCTCGTTCCCACACTGCAGCATCAGCGATTGGAACTCCCTCCCTGCCGCTCTCCTATCCCAGCCTCCCCACAGCAAGAGAATGCAATCATTCAAAACGAATGTTTACCGCCATCTTCGCAGCACAAACTGGCTCTGGGCAGTCGATTCCCTATGAATAGTATGACGCTAAGACAGTTTCTCCCCCACAATCGCTCGTGTTAAGCCTTGGGTTTTTGCATCTTTCTCACCTGTACAGCTCTATCTTCTTCTTTTTTCATTGATATGGTGCGTGTTTTTGGCCGTGACGCCGAGACCTCAGGTCGGCAGAGTCATCAATGCCCCACCATCACTGCTGCGTCTCGGTGCAGCGCCTGTTCATTAGTTGTCACGTTTGTCCTAGTCTCCGTACCATTGTCTTTCCTTATTCTTTTCGAGCTGGTTATGTGAATAATAGTAAAAAAAAAAAGAAAGAAAAGAAAGGAATGTCGCTTGTCTTCTTGACTCTTGTTACTTCGTGTGTTCTGGCTGTGACCAGTACAGTGCAGAGTGACTTTTCGCCGAACTGTGCTCGTCTTTGGCTTGTTTCAATGTTTGAGTAGGCTACGTTCCGTGCGTGCGCATGGGTCAAGTAAGAAATCCAATCATACACGGTCTGTCGGGCTTGCTGGCTGAATCATGCCCTCGCTGCCAGCCCTAGGGCCTACGGCCCTGGGAATGGGAGCTCAGGCATGATTCAGCCATCAAGCCCTCCAGACCGTGTATGATTATATACGTCACCTTCGTAAAGTTCGCTTGTTACTCGCCTTGAACGCCCGTTGGTCACACTTGTGTTGTTACTGCGCTCAAAAACACGCTGACAGTGTTGTAGGCCTACGATTCCGAACCGGGGCTTTCCCTGACCATGTAGGTCGAAGACCAGTGAAATGATGATGAAATCGTTCAAATCACACCCTTTATGACGTAGAAATCTGTCATGCAGTTCACGCGACAAGTGCGTGCAGCCAGTGCTGCTCGCGTGCGCGTGCCGGTCAATTTGATCAACACAAAGCGACCGAGCAAGCAGCTTTCGTCGAGAATCGACATGAAAACAAGGGACTTTTACTGTTGGACTATGTCCGGGATTGCAGGAGGTAAGTGTGAAAGATGAATAACTCTCCATGCTGTACAGGGCATATTTCAACGGCTTGCTGCCATTGCAACACTCCTAGTACAGTTTGTGGGGGCTCTCAGCAGATCAAGCAGGAAATGCAGCTCATCTTACCTCTGCCATCAAGGTCTGTTCCGAGTATATCGAGTAGCGTTCCAGACACGTTCGCGATCGATGGCCGCGTGTCGTGATCCGGGAAGCGTCATCCTACGTCACAGAGCACGCGATCTCACCGTGCATCTTGCAATAAAATTCAAAAACTGCGCTCAGGACTTCAGTCACTTTTGCATCAACAGTCGCACAAAAAAATTGGTGGCGCAAGGAGAAGCTTGTCGTTTGGAGTGACAAGTGATCACCGCTGCTTTTCCTTGTCAGAGTCAACAATACACTTTGTTCTGCGGCCTTGGGAGTAATGTTGGAGTAGAAATTGCTGAGGAGACGTCGCGGAGGGGCGAGCTTTCCTGCGCAGGTATGACTTTGGCCGTATTTCAGCATGGTCGAGTGGAAAAATTCAAAAAAGTTTATTTCAAGAAAACCCCAAAAGGAAGATGGCGGACATGTCATCAGCGCTAGAAGAGGTGTTCTTCTATCTGCCGGTGTATAGTTCTGGCCAATTGAGGACGTAGCTGGCTGTTTTGCCAGCGCTTTAAATTGACTATTTCCAAGACGATCATTTGTGGCGTCAGGGGGTAATGGACCTCGTCTTCTGGGATCCTGGGGTGGCTAAGCGGTACTGCTCCAGGAACTCTTCTAAGGTGAGGCAATGTTGGCTTGATGGAGTTTTGTTCATAGCTTGTTCGGATACGCTGTGGCGTGACTCGTTTCTAGACCCATAAATAATGTGATATTTCGGCCATTTTTGAGGGTATGCAAATTTCAAAGTTCCTTTCAGAAACTTTTTCAAGGGCTTTGCACAATCGATCCACACCCCAAAGGAAACCTACCTGCAAATTTTGAGCGAAATCGGAGAGATCCACTTGCACACATACTTTGGTATTCTGAGACATGCAGCAAATGCAATAACCTTTATCGCCAACTCCGAAATTCCCACTTTCTCTCCATCTGTGACGATTACCGGCGAGATCCTAG